TTAGATCAGCCATCACACAAAAAATTAGGTTTGAGTAAAACTGCTTTCACAAAAAATCACTATGACCAGTGGGAACCTTCCCAGGATGCCACTGGGTGCACTAATTCAAATCAAGTTGTTCAATGCTCACCTAGTGGGAGAAAGTGCATACTTCAAAAGCTCCACTCGGTACCCCTTCTGGAGTACCCCTTCGTATGAAGAAACATGTGGCATCAGGACTGGGGAAGGCTTATTAACAACCGGTGATATACAGATGACACAACCTTGTTCGCTGAAAGTTAGGAGGGCTTAAAGTACTTGCTAATGAAGATCAAAGGTTGCAACTTTCAATATGTATTACAACTCCATGCAAAGAAAACAAAAATCCTCACAACTGGACCAATAGGTAACATCATGATAAACAATGAAAAATTTTAAGTTGTCAAAGATTTCTTTGCTTGGATCCACAATCAATGTTCATGGAAGCAACAGTCAAGAGATCAAATGACACGTGGCATTGGGTAAATCTCCAATGTATTGAAATCTTTGTTATTTTCAATCACCTCATATGCATGTAAAAGTTAGACATTGCTTGCAGAAAAACTCTTTTTTAAAATAGATGCATTTGAACTATGGTGATGGTGAAGAAAACTGAAAGTACCGTGGACTGCCAAAAGAACAGATCTGCCTAGAAAGAAGTATAGCCAGAATGCTCCTTATAGGCAAAGCTGGTGACACTTCCTCTCATGCCCTTTAGACATGTTATTGGGAGAGATCGGTTCATGCAGAAGGATATCATGCTTGGTAAAAAGGAGAAGCAGTGAAAAAGAGGATGGCCCTCAACAAGATGGAATGACACTGTATCTGAAACAATAGGCTCAAATGGAAGAATAATTGTGAGAAAAGCACAGGACCAGGTAGTGTTTTGTTCTGTTGTACGTAGGGTTGCTATGCATCAAAACTGACTTGATGGCACCTAACAACAACAGCAAAAACAACAATAAACTTTATAGGGAAAAAAGTACCAGGCATTTATTTCAAGTTATTTGGGTTCAAGTTATTTGGTTAATTATTCTAGCATAAACTGTGTGTACTCACTCATGGAATACATCTACAGAGTACTACTTAATAAATACAGAATGAATGAATACGTGATTGAGTGAATCAATGAGTAAGTATATGAAGGCAAGACAAGGAGGGACAGAAAGAGCAACATTTGTCAAACTTAAAATTATAGTATTGCTCCTCCCAAAGTTGAGAAAGCAATAGAGTAGTGAACCTTCATTTTCCACATTTTTTAAGTATATAATTTTTGGAATATTTATCACTCACTAAAACCAAATGTAAGCTTGCTAAATATCTATGATATTTAGACTAGTCAAACAATTTAATTAACAATGTAGAAGGATGAGCTTGAAGGAGACATGTCCAAAGGGACTCTACTACATCATTATATCTTGAGTAGTCAGATTTTAATTTTCTGAAGTGTGAATATTGATCAATATAAAAACATGGTAGAACTTCTCAAAAATATTCAGCAGAGGACACTCTTGGTCAAGATGTTCAACTGATTCCACAGAGAGTGAATCACTCTTCAAGAGTCAGGATTAAGATATCAAGAGAGAGTGGGGTCTGGAGTTCAGCCCATTAGATAAGTGGCCAAATATATAAGCTCTTCCCCCTCCCAGGAAGGTACCAGGCATAGCACCCTCTCCCCAACCCCCCTTAGAGACTACTATAACCTGAACAGAGTGAACTTAGATCTAAGACTTAGGACTAAGTTTTCTGATTTAGACCACTTGAGCTATATTCCTTTAGACCGAAAAAAACAAAAAGGCTATCACCATTGAATTGATTCCTACTGGTGGTGACTTTGTAGGGTGGGGCAGAACTGCCTCTGTGGGTCTCTGAGAATTTAACTCTTTACAGATGATTACAATCAGCCTCTCCCTACCTTTCAAAATACAAGACCTCTGGTATCTTAGCTCATGAAACCTCTAGCCTGCCTATAGATAACCTAGTCCTGCCAGTCCAATCATCCAAAAGGGCAGAGCTGCTTACTCCTAGGCACTGCTGCCAATTACTGAAATGATTTCTGCCCTGCATACTATTGATTTCTGCCAGGACAGAGTTAGACCCCCAGCTCTTCCCCCACCTCCTTTCTGTTTCTTCCCCTTCTTTAAAAAGAGAGGGGCTCTGGTGTTGTAGTGCTTGT